CAACATGGTATCCTCGGGAGGACTGGATACTCTGTGACTATTATTAAGTCCTTCATGCATCATTAATTCCCCCACGTGGAGGTGATACATCTCACTGCAAAACTAATTCTGAGCACCTAAGAAAAAAGCAGAACTGAGATTTTACCTGTCTTGATCACAGATTATAGGTATTGTTTAAAATAATGCTACCAAGGAGATGAGATCCAACATCGCCTTGTGTTTAATCCCTCTCCTTCCCTTTCAACAGTGTCAACTCAGGCTTTACAGTGGAATCAATAAGGAAAAGCTTTTGCATCTATTTTATGGATCCAATATGCATTCTTTAAACAAGCATGGTTGCGGTTTCTGCCCTTGGTACCTACTTGTTCTTGTGTGGGAATGTCTGGCCATTGTTTTCATTTTGGACCAACTCAGAAACATCCTTGTGAAGGGACATGGCCTGACGTAAGAGAGATCACTGCATTGGCTACTTCTAGCCTCTCATTGGGCACAGCTTGATTCCTCAAAGCTTTTCCAAAGGAGAAACATTTATTACTGGTGATGCTTGGATTAGAAGGGCTGAGACTAACACATGGTAAGAAAGTCTTGGTAAATGATAATTTGGGGAATTTTATTTCTGTAGATGAAATTTTTAAAGTGGTAAATACCATCCGAAGAACTATCAGGTCTAAACAACAAATTTATTCTAAATGCTAGCCTTAAAATATGTGTTTAAGGGGCAATAAAAAATATTCAGCCAAAAAAAAAAAAAAAAAGCAGTGATACCAATAGAATGTAGTTGCAGATTATTCCTCTACTATGATGTTTTTTGTTTTTTGGTTTTTTTTTGAGAGGTTTTCGCTATAGGGCGCATGTGCTCACCAGACAGACAGAGAGAGACATAGAGACAGAAAGCGATAAATCACCCCCCAGGGGGGATGGTCACGCTGCAATCCCTTCTCCTCTATTCTCCTGTCGGGATCTTGGGCACGCACGCACACGCGCCCGGCGTGAGTTTAAGCCACCGAGTCTGGGACGCGAACTGCGGTCGACTACGTGGGAGTCCAGAGACATAGCCATTACGCTAACTGCTAGTTCCCTACTAGGATGTTTTAAAGGAGAAAAATTCAATAGATAAATGATTAAAAGACTTTATAGTGGTATCAACATGAAAATTTTCCCATTCTATCTATTATGTAGTCATTACTTAAATTAAGATGCAGGAAAATATATTTTCATTTTCTAGAAGATTTCTGACATTATGATCACTTACTAAAATATAATTTAAATCTATCTTTCTACCTACCATCTCTGGTTCCTCAAATAATTGGAATCAGCTTTACGTTAATGGAACAGTCAATTGTGCAAAGCTGGTAATAGTAATGAAAGCTTGAAACCTGTTATTCTGGAGTTCGCACACATCATCAGGTACAGGCTTCTCCACTTTAATTCTGCAGGTCTCTAAAGGACCAGTCGTATGACACCAGCCATGGGCATCCACGTAATCCTTGATGGTAGTGACAGAATAAATAGCTCTAGCAGGGAAAATGCAAACCAAGTAAGTTTATAAAAATGAACCGTGTGTCGCTGTGACTCTTAGCCTGACACACCAACCATTCAGCAACACCAACAACACCAACAACTGAGCAAAGCTGGTGTTGTGTGACCTGGGAGAGACCGAGGGAGGAACGGCACAAAGGCAGGCTTTAGGGAGACTTCCAGATAGCGTGACTTCAAATAGTGTGGAACTTTCCCATGGAGATTTTATTGTGTTCTGTGAGTGTAACTGTGGCACTGTTGCTCAATATTCAATTCCATCTGGGAAATATGAAGAAAAAGGATCTCTAATGGCGCACATCTTAGCAATTCGTCACTGTGAAAACCTGCAGCATTCACTCACTCTGCTGAGCTGAGATCCTGTAACTCCTGTTATATAAAACACAAAGCTGCTGTTGACTAGCTCCGGTATATAAGCACTGAAGCAGCCCACACCTCATTTGATGCAATGCATTCATCTATCGATGGTTCATCAGACAGCCATTAGTCAGCATCTTTTTTCTGTTATAAACACTATTATCCTTGAGGAATGATGGTTCATTTCGAAATGGTTAATAGTAAATACATTTACGAATAGGGCTTAACAGTTAAAAACATCAAGTATCTACTGTGTATTTAATATCATTTTGCTTCTAATGTTTTTATGATTCTCAAATATATTTGAAAATATACTAATCTATACAAATTTTGTCCTCCTAAATACCTAGACTCATCTTCAGCGTCACCCTTCATCAACCTGTTCACTTCTGCTTCTCACTTTATCCGGGTGTGAAAGTACAAACACATTTTATAAGCTTCAGAGCCCAGACAAAAATACTCCTGGAAACCATAACAAAAATGCTATAAAGTGAAAAACAACTTGTGTTAGTTTTTTTCTTCCCCATCATTCAACTAGCAGCTTTTTTTTCTTTTCTTTTTTTTTTTTTTTAAGACATGTTGCCTTTATAATTGGACTAAATCCCTTTGGGCTCTAGGCTTCTGGCTAGTCTATCATATTGTTTTGCTGTTTTGCTTTGAAGAACTGTTTTTCTGAATTTAAGTGTAATACAGAAACTTTGGGCAATATAAAAAAATAAATGTACATATAAAGATATAAAGCTGATGATACTTCCTTCCAGCTTTTAATATCATTTAGAAAGTTCTCATTTTCCTAAGATAATTGTTGCTAAAAAAATAATACAAACAAAATCCAATTAAAATGGAAACTAGCCTATTATTGTGTCAGTGTTACTAGATTTAGCAAGTGTAAGTACCCGACATTCACTTAAATGGAAATGTCAGGTAAACAACAAAAATATTTTTAGAATAAGTATGACCCTTGCAAATATTGCATTAACACATATACATGGGACATACTTAGACTAAACTCTTTTTTTTAAGAGATTTTTGCAATAGGGCATGTGCAGTCACCAGAGAGACAGAGAGAAGCAGAGAGACAGAAAGCAAGAAATCACACTCCCTGTGGGGGTGGCCATCCCACAACCCTTCTCCTCCATACATGCATGCATACATACCTGGTCTGAGTTTTAATCAACCACATCTGGGACTTTATCTGTGGTTAGCTACGTAGGAGTCCAACAATGTAACCATTATGCCATCTGCTGATCCCTAACTTTTTTCATTATTTATGTGAAATTCAAATTTAGTTGAATATCTTATCTTGTATTTGGCAATTTAATTTCTTATAAAGACAAAAGGTTGAGTGTGACTTGGTTTGAAAACTATATAAAAGTTGTGGGGCCAGCAGTTAGCGTAATGGCTATGTCACTGAACTCCCATGTAGTCGACTGTGGTTCGAGTACCCGACCTGGTGGCTTAAACTCATGCTGGGCGCGTGTGCGTATGTGCCCAAGATCCCGAGAGCAGAATGGCTGGGAAGGGATTGCAGTGTGGCCATCCCCCCTGGGGGGTGATTTCTCACTTTCTGTCTCTCTGTCTCTCTTTGTCTTTCTGGCGAGTGCATGCACCCTATAGCAAAAACCTCTCCAAAAAAAAGTAAAAAAAGGGACCAGCAGGTGGCATGGTGGTTAAGGCGCTGGATACTCCCACATGGCCAACCAGGGTTCGAGTCCTGAATCTGGTGGCTTGCTTTCTCACTTCCCTCTCTCTCTCACTCTCACCCTCTGTCTCTCTCTGGTCAAATTAAAAAAATAAATGAATGAATAAATAAAATAAATAATTATTAAAAAAAGAAATGACCCTCTATTAAAAAAAAAGGAAAAAAAGGAAAAAAAACTATATACTGGTTGTATTTATCTTTAATTAAAATTTAGAATTATAGTCAATCCCTTCTCCTCCAGTCTCCTCTCAGGATTTTGGGCAGGCACGCACATACACCAGGACTGATTTTCGAGCCACCAGGTCAGGGATTCGAACTGTGGTTAACCGTGTGGGAGTCCAGTGCCTTAACCACCACGCCAAATGTTGGCCCTGTTTCCATATTTACCATTCAACTCCCTGATTTCAGTTGCATAGTGTTTGCCATAAAATGAGATCGCCCTTCAGCCTGACCGAGAAGAATCAGGGATGGGAGAGCTACCAAGGCAATGTAGGCATTGATGAAGTGCCCACAAACAGTCTTTAGTAAGAAATTGCAAGGGACCAGCAGGTGGCGTGGTGGTTAAGGTGCTGGACACTCCCACATGGCCAACCAAGGTTCAAGTCCTGGACCTGGTGGCTTGCTCTCTCACTTCCCTCTCTCTCTCACTCTCACCCTCTGTCTCTCTCTGGTCAAATTAAAAAAATAAATGAATGAATAAATAAAATAAATAATTATTAAAAAAAGAAATGACCCTCTATTTAAAAAAAAGTAAAAAAAGGAAAAAAAACTATATACTGGTTGTATTTATCTTTAATTAAAATTTAGAATTATAGTCATAATTATACATTCATTTTTAAAACAAACATTTTTTTCCTCTTTGGATTAGTTTTTACTCCTTAATTGTGTAAAAACACAAAACCACTTGGTTTTTGTTTGTTTTTGCTATAGGTTGTGTGTTCTCACTAGAGAGAGACATAGAGAGAGGGAAAGTGAGAAATCGCTCCCCCAGGAGATGGCCAAGCGTGGTCACATCACAATCCCTCGCTTCCATTTCTCCTTCCCCTTAGGGTTTTGGGCACACACACACACACACACACACACACACACACACACACAATGTATTTTTCAAGCGACTGCATCTGGAACTTGAAATGCAAAGTGCAGTGCACCATGTGGGATCCAGTGCCTTAACCACGACGCCATCTGCTGGCAGGACCGGACCTTTTACTATTCATCTTACTCTCCAAGATAGACCAGCATATGAGTAGATTTGACTGATAAACATTTAAGGCTTTGTCTAGAGGACTACTCTATCTTTTGACGAATGAATTGTTTTACATTTTAAAAGTTTAATTCTTTCATGACACACAGAGAGAGGGAAAAGCAAGAGACAAGCACTCTCAAAAGACTTTCATACCTCCTAGATACAATTTTCCCAGACAGTTGGGATCATGTGTGCCTGCATCCTGGATACAGGTCTACCTGGAAATGGGACCTGCAGTCGTCAGTTTGGATCCAGCATGGCTGAACAGTGTGTTACCACGGCACCTGCTTCCCAGACCTGCTGTTTTGTTATTAAACGCTGGCAGTTGCATCGTCCATGTCTACTTTCCTTCCTCCAGAACTGAAACTCTGCTGCGAACTTGAGCATCATCTGCATTGGTTCAGGAAATGTTGCATCTTTCACACGTCCTAGTTTTACTTTCCAAATGCTTTGCTTTGTACTGGCCATTTCAGAGACACTAAAATAAGCAAGAGACTAATAAACAAAGGTATCGATTCAGTAAGCAGGAAAGACCATTTGTTTAATCAAGGAGGAAAGCTCAGAAGGGACTCATTTTATAAAAGAAGTCATTGTTAATTTTTTTTCTTAGCATTGTAATGACTTGGCCTCCTTTCAAACTTCCAATGTTGTCTGGTTTTAAAATGTTCATAATAATGAAAATGCTTACCCAAAAGAAAAATCTTTCTTGATTCTTGTTTTGACAGTCTCTTGAGAATCTTTTCAGAAATTTTCTAAACATACAAAAAAAGTCTGTGTGTTTACATGTGAGTACTCATGTGATATTTGGCCAGCATTCTGTGTGGAGTGAGTTGCTCGGGGTATGTGTATAATTACATGTGTGTACATCGGTGTAAACTATATTGAGGCTTCTGTTTAAGTGTGTGTATCACAAGTGGTAGCCCCGTATGCACACAGCTCTGTTTTAAGTATTATATCATAGACATTATGCCCTATCAGCCATTAAAAACAGTACTGGGGTCAGCAATGGCGTGGAAGTGAAGGCAGCTGAATCCCACATGGCCGACTTCAGCATTGAGTCCCACACCGAGTGGCTTAAAAATCATGCCAGGTGTATGTGCATGTGTGCCTAAAATCCCAAGAGGAAAAGAGGAGAAAGGATGGCCGTGTGTCCATCCCATATAGAGGGTGATTGCTTTTTCTTTACTTTTCTTTTATTTATTTATTTATTTATTTTGAGAGGTTTTTGCTATAGGGCGTGTGGGCTCACCAGAAAGAGAGAGAAACAGAAAGCAAGAAATCACCCCCCCAGGGGGGATGGCCACACCACAATCCCTTCTCTCCGTTCTCCTCTAGGGATCTTGGGCACGCATGCACATAGATGGTCGGTCCCTGGAAGGTGATTTCTTACTCTCTCTCTCTCTTTCTCTCTCTCTGGTGAGTGAATGTGCCCGATGGCAACAGATCTGAAAAAATAAAAGGCAATATAATTATTTTAAGTTATAATTATTTTAACATAGTTATATGTTATCACATATTTAAATAATCCTATATGGGTAGACACTTAAGCATTCAGAAGAGCCGTATCTATTTACTTATATTTTAGACTCTTCTTTGAAAAGAATCCACTGGCAGACAGTACAGGCCTTTCCGCAGGGACACTGTCTCATCGCTTTTGGCTCTTCCACACACTGACCTTTTGACTTTCATCCTCATAGTCACTTTGGGCTCCACGCTGTTTGCTTTGTAATCCCAACCACAATGGCCAAGTTTTAGGCAGAAAGGAACTCTGTCCAGTTGAGTCTCACCATAAACATTCCACCTGTATTGTTTTTGTTTTTGTTTTAATTGCCAGAGCATGCATGCACTTGTCAGAAAGAGAGGGGTTGGGGAGAGAGAGAGCAGCCCCTGGTAGGGCATGGTTATGTTGCTGTACCTTTCTCTCCTTTCCTGCATCCTGTCAGGAGGTGGGGCATGCATGCACATGCACCTGGCATGTTTTCCAAGCCACCTGGGCCAGGATTCCAACTGAGGTGGGCGTGTGGCCTCTGAGTTCCAATAAGGAATACTAAGTCGCTGCACTACGAACTTTCCACTCTTGTATTCTACTACCTAGTGCTTTTTCACACTGTCAGGCTTCGGTGCCAGAAATGTTGTGAAATCCAGTCCTCCCTGCAGGTACCTACATCCTGTCACGTTTCTGAGACTGGAAGGGTAAACAGCGTAAGCAACTCCTGACATATTAAAACAATGTGTAGATTTGAAAGTTCTATAGCTATTTCATAAGGGTGCCAATTTTCTTGAAATTATACTCCCACTCGTAATGAATAATAGTGCCTATTTCATGCTATTCTGTCAACACGTGTTAATGTCAAAAAATAAAAATTGGGGGCTGGCCCCATAGCATGGGGGTAAGTGCTGTGCAATCCAATCCTGTGGAGTCCAATCCTACATGGCTCAAATCCTGGCTTGAACCCTGGTCTCAGTGGCTTGAAAAACACAATGGAGGGGCCGGCAGGTGGTGTGGAGGTTAAGGGCGCTGGACTCCCACATGGCCGATTGCAATTTGAGTCCCAGACCAGGCGGCTTCCTTTCTCACTTTCCCTTTCTCTCTCTCTGTCTTTCTCTGGTCGAATTAAAATGAATGAAGTTAAGTAAAATAATTCTTAAAAAAGAAAGAAAGAAAGAAAGAGAGAGAGAGAGAGAGAGAGAGAGAGAGAGAGAGAGAGAGAGAGAGAGAGAGAGAGAGAGAGAGAGAGAGAGAGAGAGAGAGAGAGAGAGAGAGAGAGAGAGAGAGAGAGAGAGAGAGAGAGAGAGAGAGAGAGAGAGAGAGAGAGAGAGAGAGAGAGAGAGAGAGAGAGAGAGAGAGAGAGAGAGAGAGAGAGAGAGAGAGAGAGAGAGAGAGAGAGAGAGAGAGAGAGAGAGAGAGAGAGAGAGAGAGAGAGAGAGAGAGAGAGAGAGAGAGAGAGAGAGAGAGAGAGAGAGAGAGAGAGAGAGAGAGAGAGAGAGAGAGAGAGAGAGAGAGAGAGAGAGAGAGAGAGAGAGAGAGAGAGAGAGAGAGAGAGAGAGAGAGAGAGAGAGAGAGAGAGAGAGAGAGAGAGAGAGAGAGAGAGAGAGAGAGAGAGAGAGAGAGAGAGAGAGAGAGAGAGAGAGAGAGAGAGAGAGAGAGAGAGAGAGAGAGAGAGAGAGAGAGAGAGAGAGAGAGAGAGAGAGAGAGAGAGAGAGAGAGAGAGAGAGAGAGAGAGAGAGAGAGAAAGAAAGAAAGAAAGAAAGAAAAACACACTGGGCTCATGTGCAAGCATGCCCCAAATCCTGACAGGACGGAGAAATGGAGGGAAAAACGGATTGCGACATTACCACAGCCCACTGGGCAGCACTTTGCCTCTCACTTTCTCTCTGTCTCTCACTTTCTCTCTCTCTATCCCTCACTTTCTTTCTTTCTGGAAAGTGCAAAACTCTCTGGCAATTAGAAAAAAAAGGTAAAGAAATAAAAATATAAATAAAAATTTTCTGCAAACTGTTAGGATAAAAGTGGTATTTTAAAGGTTTTTTGTTGTTGTTTCTTCCTGATAGATGACACTGAATATCTAATGCAATAGTTAATAGCCATTTGCATGCCCCTTTCTGTGAACTTTAAGTTTATTTCTTTTGTCATGTTTCCTTTTGGGACTCTGATCTGTTTTTTAGCTGATAGGAGTTTTCCAGTATGTGAGATGAATTTATGACATAGTCTGCAACTGTTTTTTGCACACACACACACACACAGAATATTTTCTCTCAGGCTGTGGGTTCTTTTCATTTTCCTTTGGTGCCTTTTATTAATGAGCAGTTTTAATTTATTTTCTTTTTAAGTTCAAGAGGGCACTTAAACTTGCCAGAGAGAGACAGAGAGACAGAAGGAAGAGGGAAGAAGTACTCCCCTCAATGGGGTGTGATCACATGGCAATCCCTTCTCCATTTCTGTCTTACCAAGATTCAGAGCACACATTCACACACTCTCCTTACGTTTTTCAAGCTGCTGGGCTTTGAATCACAGCCACATTAGGTCTGGCTGACTAGGCTAGAGGCTGGCCCAACAATGTTACATTTTGATTAAGACTAGTTTATAGATTGCTTTCATTATTTTATTTTAATTTCTTTTATACATTCAATCACTATACATCACTTAGCTTGTAATTTTCCAACATGAATACATTTTTCACCAGCTGAGGATACGATACACATTATCATCAACTGATAATAATCGATTTCTGTGTCCCATAAATGTTTTGCCTCTTTATTTTTCTCCTTAATGCCTTTCCTCACACTCTCCTCCTTCTCCCACCCTCTTCCCACACTGTAGCCAGTATCTATAACCATTTCCCGTGTTTCTATTTTCTCTTTCAGTTTCAGCCAGAGTATGGACAATCAGTATATATTAAGTGGAGACATACAATGTCTCTCTTTCATAACCTGGCTGGTTTTCCTCAGCAGTAAATCTTCCACGTTCATCCACTTTCCATCAAAAGCCAGGGTCTTATTTTTTTATGGCTGAGTAGTACTAGTACTTTTGTGATCTATTTAAAAACAACTTACTGCAAAGTAATAAAGATATTTTCCTATGTCTTCTTCTAGATGCCTTATATCAATATCTCTAGCTTTTATGTTTAGGTTTATGATTCCATCTCAAGTAAATTTTATGTATGGTGTAAGATAGTCCGAAGCTCATGTTGTGCTTTTATTTCTTATATTTAGTATACAGAAATTCAATGATTTTGATACATGGCAACTTGCACTAAGAGATCTTCCTCAATTCACTAATTAGAACTACTTTAAATATTTTTTTCTATATTTTCTATGTAAGCAAAAATGTCAGCTTAGAATACTTTTTTCCCTTAATAGTTATGTCTTGTTTTCTGACTTTAGTGTACTAATCTTCCAATATAATATTAAACATAATTGAGAAAAATACATTCTTTATTTAATCTTAGCTGAAAATCGTCCAATATTTTACCATTAACGGTGATGATAACCGCCTATTTTTCTTAGATATCTTTTATCAAATAAAAATTATTTTCAATTCCTTGTTAACTGATACATTTTTCCATATAAGTTTTCTTCCTTTATTGAGATGATTACTTATTTAAGAGACGTTTTTCTATCAAATACTGATTGCTTTGAACATTTTTTGGGTTAAGGTGAACTTGAGTTCCTGGAATCAACTCAACTCTGTGTATATATATGATGACAGAACTCAAGGATTTGTATTTACTATTTGATCTGATTTGCTAATATTCTGAATTTTTTTTAGTCCATAATTGTAAGAAATATTGATAGGTAATTTTTTTTTTATAATGTCCTTATTCAGTTCTGATATCAGCAGTACGTTGACTTTCTAAAACAATTACAAGGTGTTTGTTTCTTTCATTTTTTTTAAGTTCATTTATTTCTTCCATGACAGAGAGACAGAAAGAGAGATAGAGACTGAGACAAAGAAAGTCACTCCCAACAGGGGCCTCAGGCTGCAATCCACTCTC